GGAGTAAGCTGGAGTAAGGAAATAAATCCATTTTATTTCTTACTCCTACTTCAGCTCTTAGGCTTACTCTCGGTGAATCAAAATGCCATCAATCAGTGTTACAATTATTTTAAAAACCATGCCCGTATTTCAGCTTCCTTACACCAAAAGCTAGAAGTTAGGGCTCTCCCTTACTCCTTACTCCACGCTTACTCCACGTATTGTAGACCACGCATTAGTCATTTAGTGTATCCATATTATGTTAAATTAACAGAAAAATTTGTGTGGACCGTTTGGGACATGTGATATCTGTTAAATTTAGCACAACTTTTTCAACTGTGTACTTACCACACTGTTCGTAATTCGCAGTTTACTATTCGTAATTTATTTGTCGTTTTGTTCGTGTCAACTACCAGATAGCGCACATACTTCTATGAATATTCTTCTGGAGTGCAAATATTCTGAATTCCGTAATAATCCAGTCAAATATTCTATAAATACGTATAGATTATTACAATTAGAAATCGTACATTCATAACAAAGAAGAGCGTTTTCAGAATATTCGTCGAGAATGCCCTTGGAATATTCGTTGAGAATAATTTTTTAATATTCATCGAGTTTGTGTATTGCATATTGTTTATTGTGTAATACACTTATCTTATGCAAAAGGCAGTGAAACCTGTGATCATACCATGTATAACCGGCACGCTATGTTCGATAGATTATTCTATTCACATTCGAAAAAGATTTATAGTAGTGTCAGTCGAATGTCCCACGAACATAAGATAAATATATGAGAATGACCTATGGAATATACCGAATATTCTTAAAATGTTCAGAGGAGTGTCTTGTGCTATCTGGGCTTGGACAACTTTTAACCTTTACCTGTTACTAAGGCCTGCGTCCACGATGCTAGAACTTGGTACAAGTTCTAGCATCGTGGGCACAGGCCTTTACAAACCTTTATCATAAGTCTACAATAGGTCAAGTTTCGATATCGAGGGGGAAACCGCTGACCAAAATCTTGTACACACCAATTATTATAAAATAAAGTAGTGCCCACTAATGCCCAGTGGGCATTACTTTATCTTAATATCTTATTTTATCTTATTTATCTTGTTTTATCCTATTTTATCTTTATAATCCTCCAGCAAGGCACAATGTCCAAACTAATGTCCAAAAAAGAAAACTAATGTCTAGTAATGCCCAGTAATGCCCTCAGCGGTTTCCCCATCGTTCGATATTAATCAAAAACCCACTGTTTTCGTTAAAAAAACAAGAAAAAACTGCTCGGCTAGCGAATCGCGCACAGTGTGGCGCCAGCTTTACGCGTACGCGGCATGCGGATACCGAGAGGGGACTGCACGATCGCCGGGAAATAACGTCGCGTTACATTAAAGCCTCGGTGCACCGTGAAAAGTAATTATTCCTGCTACGCAGATGTCGTAGGACAAACAACCGGCGTTTGTATTTTAACAGCCTGGCATAATATTTGTGCAAATTAATCGATTAATCTTGTTTTCCCGGATTCTAAATGGACTCTGAGGTCAATCTACAAGTCTATCCGTGCTCATTACGTCAGCGCGTTTGTCACAATCGATTTCCCGTGGCAAATGAAACGAAACAATAAAAAAAAAGAATCGTCGATAAGTACACAGCGGTATCGACGAGGGACGCGACCGACCGGAGAAGGTAAAGTGCACCTCTTCCATCTTGCTTCCAGGTGCCGCGGGGGATACGCGACTCGTTGGACCCGAGGGAGTTTTAACGTGCGCGCATTCCGTGGCGGAGGAGAGCCGTGTGGAAGAGCGAAGGGACCGAGCCGCGGACAGGAGCGATGCTCCGCGCGGTTCGTAGGACCGGGGGGCGTACGGGTTCGCGAGGAATTCGAGGATTCGAGAGTGAGAGACGACGGTTTTACGGCTGCTTGGCAACGAGGCCAGGCACCTAGCCAGACGAACCAGCCAGCGGCAACCGGAGGCGCCTATCGCGGGTCCGACGATCCGTTGAGGTCAGAGCCCCTCTCACAAAGAAGGGCCCCTCCCTTGGCGCCCTCGAACGTTTATACAGGGTGTCCTGCGCCTGCCGATACCTCGCGCTAATAATCGCGCCGCCGTTCTCCCGAGGGATATTGACCGTCGATTTAATTGTTTAAAATACGTCTCGAGACCCTCGTCCCAAATTGGGAGCGCATTAAAGAAGAAAGCGGAACCGGGACCTCCGCGATAACGCAAACGATCTCCTTGGGTACTGTTTTTTTAATTTTTTTTTTTAGAACGCTCTTCCCTTGGGAACGCCCGGCTCACGGATATCGCAAACAAAGCGATCGGGGATTCAATAAATTTCAAACGGACAAATAACGGTGTTTTGCTTTATCCGCCGCGTAAAAACACTAAACTGATAAAGCAAAACACTATTGGTTGGTCGTTAAATCGTATTTAAACGAAAAATGTCTCGCTGAGCAAAATATCCCGGCCTGTCTAGTCGGATAATTCAATTACGTATTAACAAGTGGATATATTCGATTAAATTGTATGTCCGATGAGAAGTACAATCGGTTTTTCGATCAAACTTCATCGGCAACTGCAATTTCACTGGATAAATTTCATATGCATAATTTAATCGGGGGAACTTAATAAGAAAAACCGATGGTTAATTTTCCATCGCAAAACACCACTTAATCGATTTATCTAATGGAGATTTTTCTCGGTGCAACGATACACGTTATATCACGGTGTCGTTTCGTAATTTCTTTCTTCTCACAAGCGAATGACAAGATACAATTCCGACTTGACAGAAATACTGACGCGACCCGAAAATAATTGTAAGATCGTGGAAAACAATTTGCACGATCGAGTGCTTAGAGGCGCGGAGGAAAACGCGTGCCGAATGGAACCTCTGTTGGACGCAGCAATAAATAAATGCCATTTATTTTTACTACGCCTTGTGCACTCGTGTTGTGCGTCACCTACGCTCCGACACTACGACCGCTATGTTTCCTGCTTAAAAAGAAGGACTGGCTCTTTTGTCTAAACGCCAAATGGCGGGGGCGCAATTAAAGGAAGTTGGTAAGTCCAGAACCCCGCGGAGAGATTAAGATTTCATTATTACAGTATAAATGTATGATACGACTTGCGATATCCCGATAATCGAATGACTTGCCAGAGCCTCTCGGTAGATGATAGCAGTGATAAATCGAATCGAGATTCGATAACGGAGATACGCGTCTTCTCGATAGCGAGGCGTGTTGGCACGTGCGAAAATGTTTCGCAGTTCGCAAAAGGCGCGAGGCAGAAAAGACTAATGCCCGTTTCTACCAATTAACTTTGATCTCGGTTCAAATTGCCTGCTGTCTTTTTCTAATTTTGCAAACTGCACGGAGAGAACTTTCTCTTAAATTTTATTATTTACCCGGAAAATCGTGGGACAACGCGGCATTTTGAACAGTTTATGAGAGTTTTCTGAAACTTTACCATACATTTTACCAGTAATTGTGCTTGGTATACATTTTACTAGTAGAGGGAAGTTCTCTATTATGAGATAGTAGGTTTTCAACGTTCAAATTCAACCACAAATCTTTTCTCGCAACGATCGCACGATCTAACAATCAATTTTCCACTAAACAGATTTCACGCCGAGGGCAATAAATTCACGGTGGAACCAACAGATGACGCCTATTAATAGCAGAAACTCCGCCATCTCATATTAGGAGCCTTTCTCATAACAGGGGACTTTCCTCTGAAACGTACGGTAAAATTTCAGAAAACTCTCACAAAGTTGCTCAAAACGCCACGTTGTTCCACGATTACACGATTTTTCAGGATAACTGTTCAGGAAAAATTCTCTGCGCGTAGAAAAACGGGCATAAAGCGATTTCAGAAGATCTCAAGATCGGGAGGCATTGGAGGCGGATATTGCCAGCTGCCACTTGGCGATTGATTTCAATTTAATTAGCGGCTGCTGGTTTTTCCTTGATTTCGTCACGGTTTAAGATCTAAAAGAGTCAGCCTTATCCCGCAGCAATGATAAAGGAATCAGCGATACCCGTGCATTATTAGTAAAATTCAGGGTTGGGAAACTTACTCTATAAAAGTATCTAGTTACAGTTACAATTTTTTCGCGACTCTCTAAAAGTCAATTAGTGAATTGAACTCGAAATTTTCAGTAGTATACTTATAACTGCAAATCAGTAGCTATTCACTGTTTCCAGTGATAATTCACTAATTGACTTTTAGAGAGTAAAAATGTAACTAGTTACAATCACAAGTTACCAATTCTGAAAAGTAACGCGTTATAGTTACTCAAAAAGTGACGAATCGTTACTTTGCAGTTACTTTCTTGCAATGAAAATCGAAACATCGAATCTGCATTCGAATTGTAAAGTGTCGATGAAGGCGTTGAATGCAAGGCCTGATGCGATCTGTGTAGATTTAAAAAATATATAAAGTAACCATTAATGTAACTATTAGTCACTAGTTATCGGAAAAAATGTAACCGAGTTAAGTACAGTTACAGATAGAGAGAAAGTAACGAAGTCAGGTCGGAGTTACCAAAAAAAAAGTAACTAACTGCAACTTCGTTTACGAGTAACGAGTTACTTCCCAACCCTGGACTAAAATTTAAATACAATTCAATTGTGTGACAATCGAGACGCCGAAAGCTCCCACGACTTCTCGGGGCTGCGCGGACACCGCGGGCGGACTTTCGAATCGGAGAATCCGCGGGGACGCGCGGAAATTTCGAGCGCGACTCCGAGGTACGTACGTCAGTCTAGGTCTGTCACGCCGTTAATTCCGTCATCGTCGCCGACCTATGACCAACTTACGACACCGGGCAGCGAGATCTTTCGCGTGCGCGCGCGCGCGCCGAGGGGGGCCGGTCGCCAGTTCGCCTGGCGTCGTTCCTCGCGCGGCGCTTTTTATCGGGAGCCCCCGCGGCTCGCGAACAATTTCGAAATTGCCGATTCCCGCCCGTCAACGGATCCCGCGCGCGGATCCCGAAAGAGCCAGGCAGCCACTCACCCATGTGCTCGAGGTCGACGATCGGGATTTCGCACTTGCTGAGAAGAGTCTCGCAGGTGTGCGTGACCATGGGCGCGCTGGTGCAGTAACTCATCCTGACGACCGCTGGTCTCCTTGGAAATCGGTCGATTCCTTTTACACCGGATCGCTCTCCGCCTCTCTCTCTCTCTCTCCCTGCCGATGCTCTCGTCGCAGACCGACTGCCGCTCTCGACTTTCTCACTCTTTCTCTCTCTCTCTCCTTCCGTACGCCGCAGCGAGAGCGACGGCAAAAAAAAACATACGCCGCCTCGCGCGCGCGATCGACTCGGCCACCCGGTATAAGGCGCACACCACACGGACTCACTGGAATATCCAAGAGAAGATCATACTACCACCGCGCGCGTACACACACACATGCACGTGTATCGTATTATTCGCGGCCACGCGCGCGGAGATCGGAGCGGACGGGCGCGATTTAAAGGGGATGCCGAGCCGTATCCCTCGTTAATATCCCCGTGTCACATTCGCGCGAGAGCGAGAGCCGCGGAGAAGTATGGCCGCCCTAACGGTAGCCGTGGGAGACGTGTTTATTGTGCGGCTCGCGATGCGGTAAGCGGTATACGTGGCTCCGGACTAGTGGGCACATGCTACGACGGCGTGATGGCGGTTTCGGAGTAGCGAGCAACTCGATTCGACCGCCCAGCCCACCACAAGACAACCGACCGTACCGTCGCGCGGTCCTACGCGAACTGCCGCGTCGCGCCGGGCGCGCGACCGTTTTCCCAGCCGTCGAGCATTCCGCGCTCACACGAGCGTACCCGAGCGCCGACGGGCGCGCCCGAGCGCCCTCGCGCATGCCCACCCGAGCGCCTTCGCGCCTGCGCGCCCGAGCGAGCGTCGTCGGAGACGTTGGCGCGAAAAATCCGTTCTGGTGGTCGTTTCTGTATCCGAGGCCGGTACCCACAGTCGATTCTTATCTCGAAATCATCTTAAGTGTTGTCTTAAGAAGCTAATACGGCTCTGTGATTGGTTAAAAACGTATTAAGAATATACTTAAGATGATCTTAAATATAAGAACGGGCTATGAATGCCTGTGTCCACGATGCTCTAGGACCTGGCCCAAGTTCTAGCTTCGAGAAATGTGTGGCCAATCAACTTGCAGGTATTCCGTAAGAGCTGCAAGATGATTGACTTCCTCGGAACTAGAAGTTGGAACCAAGCTCTAGTACCGTGGAAACAGGCCTTTCGTTCGAGCTCTCTATTCTAGTTTCACATCCAGGTTCAGTGTGTCTACGGTCCAAGTTTTACTAACTTTTCCTAGATTTAAGAACTCGAAACAGAAGTTCTAGCATCGTGTACACGGGCTTTTACACTATAGTGAAAATGCTGAAAGTCGGTAGCCTTGTCTCTTTCTAACTGTTCCCTTAAAAAAGAGACAAAGTTGCTCATCTTAAAGTCTGTATCCAAGTTCTAGCTTCGAGACATCTGTAGCCAATCAACTTGCAGCTTTTATGAAATAGCTGCAAGCTGATTGGCTACAGATCTCTCAGAACTAGAACTTGGACCAAGCATCGTGGACACAGGCCGTTTAGCATTTTCAGTATGTTGCAAGGTACAGAGTTGACACCGCCCTTCTGGCGTTTATTTGTTTAAAGCGGACCGGGCGCCAAAACCGACCCCGCGACATCGAGACCAAGTTCAACAGAGAACAGACCCAATGAAATCTGTTTTATTGAACTTGCGTCCGATTTGGATTTGCGCGCGATTATCCGAATCGTCGTGTCTCTACTCGGAGAAAACTCAAAGAAAGTAAACGGGAAGTAACTCGTTACTTGTAACGAAGTTACAGTTACAGTTACTTTTTTTTTGTAACTCTATCTTAACTCTAACTTAACTTCGTTACTTTCTCTCCGTCTGTAACTGTAACTCAACTCAGTTACATTAATAGTTACTTTATATGCAGTTTAAACCTCCACAGATCGCGGCCTCGCCTTTGCGCATAAACGCCTTTGTCGACACTTTACAATTCAAATACAAATTTGATATTTTTATGTTTGTTGCAAGAAAGCAACTACGAAGTAACGATTCGTTACTTTTTGAGTAACTGTAACTAGATACTTTTATAAAGTAACTTTCCCGACACCCTCCGTATGTATCACATAATACAAAAAAACCATGAAAGCTCTGTGTGAGACGCGTAGTTGATGTATCGGCATCCGTTTATTTCTTTAAAACGCACTTGGTACGAGTTCGCCGCGAAATAACGTTTGGTTATTATTTTTAAAATATCCGTCGTGCATCGTATTTAATTCCTTTCATACATGCGGGAAGAAGCTAAAGTACACGAACTAATTTTAAATAGACCGGCGTAGATTCTTTTCTCGAATAATCGAGCGTCGAGTTGACCACGTTTTCGTCCCGTGAACTATAAACCTCGTTCGTGGGACTTTTCGGACTCCTCCAGGACTGTATTTTCAGCGTGCGAAAGTGCCGATGAAATGTAATAAGAGGAACACGAATTCTCGCTCATGGGACGTCACCAGTTTCTATTACAGTCGGTCTACAGAAGAAGCGCGGAAAGGAGCACGCGAGCGGCTTTAAAATTACCTGCAGTCTTGAAAATTACCGCCTTAGTCTCTAAAATCGAATTCGATACAAAATAACACTTAAAATAACCGTAATCGTTGAATATCGCAAGAAAAGCAGAAGCCGTGTATCACATTTGTAATGAACTTATTTGATCGTAAATTTATTATAAAACAAATAATAAATTGTGGCCTTAAATAAAATGTATATAACAAAGTTGCGCGATAAAATCGAAGCTACTGAATTACAAGTACTTGAATTACGTCAAGAGCGAAAGCGAAAGCATCGCTCGTCTTCGTTGTCGCGATGTTTTAAACTCTACACTGAATTCTCTCTTCCGATGTCTCGACTTTCGGACAGGAAACTTCCTTGTCTCCCACTAGATTACTCATTGTCTAGCCAGTGACACGACTTACCTCTAATCGTAGCAATTAGCGTTTCGCAATCGTTAATGCAGCGTGTCCGAAAGACAACCGCCGCTCTAATCGCTTCGAAGATCTATAGTTCATTAGTCCAGAGTGGCTTCAACACGCGCACATTTATTACGAAGACATTCCATGGATATTCTGTGCTCCTCGTGAACGCTTGGTTTAATCTTTGCCACGTCCCAAGTACTATTAAGCAAAAGCATCATGATTGTATTTATCTTTGAATACTCAATTTTACCGGGCAAGAACTTTAAATTGCACGACGGCTCGTACGAAAATCGTACGATTGTACAATACTCACACAAAAAGTTATCTTTACTAAGACTTTATCACAGCTTATTTGTATTGTTATATTTTTTCCGTAAATTTTATACCAAGAGATATTTCTGAAGCTTTTAGAAGTTTGTCTTCTGATTATAATTAATTTAATATTTAACTTAATTGTCGTTGAAATACTAAGGAAATAATTATGAAACACATACGAAAGAGTACGATCGTTACAAGGAGCTAATTGAAAAAATTCAAAGCAGTCTCTCTCCTTCTGTCTTTATATTGTATTTATGCTAAAAAGATTTCCTCTTACCGATTTCCGTGATTTAAAATGGGATATCGGCGTCTGGCCTTAGACGATCTAATTTTCCGGTTCTCCTTGACAAAACCGTCTTTAGTTGTTAACGAACAATAGTGCATGCTCGGTCTCTTGTGCCGAGCGGATTTCTTAAGTGAAAAAAGTCGTGGCACGTAGGTCCTTGACGATGTGTTTATAATAGAGAATGGCGCAGCGGAACATCTTACTCGAGGAAAGGACGTTCCCAGAGGGACAAATCGGCTGACCATCTGTTATAACAAAACGCCAGAGTTGTGGATAGACAATAGCGTTTGTGTCATTGTTACGATGGTAATTAGAGATTGTTTGATTTTACGTGAGTCGTATATAATTTTAACAATTAAATAATTTAAATAATAATTCATTTTTATAATTAAATAATTAATAAATATTCCGTAGCGATAGTTGCGTTAAATGATTGATCCTGGAAAATTTTAAAGGACCATTATTGACCATTATTGTATGATGTAAAATCCATGAACTGTTATTCTAGGAATGCGCAGCTCGTGTCAGATTAAACACGATAACGTACTCTGGTAATTAGAAAGGTCAGTAACACTTGTATAACAATCAAAGTGATAGTCATGATGTAAGCGACAATGACGATTCTGAGAAGAATGGGACTGATAACTTCCGCGCAGCCATTCACGTTTATCGTTTTGTCATCCATCATCTCCAAGTGCATGCAAGGTGCCGCGGCGCGCAAGTTGCAGCAGCTAAAAGGAACTCCAAGACTCCTATAGTCTTCGTCTGAGATTCTAGTTTGTTCCGCCATTTCCTCCCGAGAGGCGTAATCTACTTTCTTGTCGAAAAAAACATTTGTTTTCTCCCCATTGTCCTTTCTTATCTCTTTCTTATCTCTCAACCAAGAAGAAAAATTTGTTTAATTAAAAAAATTTATTATGAAAAGTATAATAGAAATGCAACAAAATAAATTACAAAGTCCAACAAAACGTCACCTGTGATATACAGAAAATATACAGTTATCAATAAAATTTTTCTTAGCGGGTTGAAGAGCTGGGAACTTTGAAAAAAGACTAGAGGAGGGAAAGGGAAGTGAAATAACGAAACTATGTTGGATGGAATTGCAGGAGAGGAGTAGAAAGGGTGGAGTAGGATCGGGATGGGAGAAGGAGAGGAAAGGGTTTGCTGAAGATAGAGAGATGAATTTGAAAGAAGTTGAAAGGAGGAGAGAGAAAAAAAGAGTTATGGATATAATAGAGAAAGATAGAGAAAAACAAAGGGTGAAAAGGCTGGAGAAAATTAGAGAGTCAAGGTTTAATAGATGGTGTGGGGCAATTAGGATAGAAGGTATACCGGAATATTTAAGAAAAGGATGGGGAGAAAGTAGAGTGAGAAGAGTGATGAGATTCAGATTAGGAAATGACATGAGGGAAAGTCTATATTGGGAAAAGATAGAAGATAAATTGTATAAACTTTATTAGGGAGGGGAAGAGACATGGGAACACGTATGGAATGTAGAGAATGGAAGATGGGAAAGGGAAGTCTGCAGGAAGTGATACATAAAATTCTAGGGGAAGAAGGCGAGGGTGAAAGGTGGATGAGAGAGGTTGAGGGTGAGAGGAGTATGCACGAGGAGAGAGAGAGGATAAGAAAAAGAGAGAAAGTGAGGAGGAGAGAAAGAGAGAGAGTTATTACAAGGCAAGAGGAAGCTGAAGTCCGGAGGGAGAGAGAGAGGCAGAGGGCAAAGGGCGTTTAGATAAGTAACGATTAGTTTAAGATTAGGATTAAGATTAAGATTAAGGCTAGAGTAAGGTAGATTTAAATTGCACCTCTGTGACGATAATTGTAAAAAGGTTTGAGGTACGCTCCTTTACAACAAAGCGCCGGATATTTTGTACTTTGGGAGCGCAACCCTAAGGGGAGTCGCTATAATTATATACATAAATACAATAAAATTTCTCTTTAGAGATAAAATGAGGAAAGAAATGGAAGACCAATAATATTATGGTGCAAACCATGATAAATAGATTAAAACAATGCAACAAATTGTTTGATTATCAATCGGCCAAACTTTTCGGGATGCTTTTTGCAACTGCGATCGAAACAGATATAATATTGAGGAATCACCTGCCAATCGAAGAGAAACCAATCCGTATAAGAGGAGTGGCCGCAACACTGTAATACAAATTGGATCTCGTCGATTGCGTATTTATATGACACGGCAGTAGCGTACAGATGCATGGAGGCGTTGAAGACGTCAATTAAGGTTTCTTGCCTCACACTGATGTGATACCCTATCGAAGCTAACGTCATCGTGTTCATAGCGGTGCACACAATTATCATTATCAGAAGACATCTCAGCACCTGCCTAGTTTTCAAACGGGGACTCGATTTGCGCCTGTAAGAATGTATCCCATATTACATGTCACGCCAAGAGCTCATAAAAGGAATTGCGTTTGAAATGTAATTAATATAGTTTTATGAAAGTTATAATATAATTAATAACACGCGATAATATGTTGTATGTACAATAATAACATAATAATTAATAGTAAACTTTTACGAAAACATGCGATTGCTTTTCTGATTTTGTCCTTCAACGCAAGTCGCAAATACTTGTATTGTAGTTAGCACTCATTTCTTTATACCGTTTGCATCCAAATTGCTTATCAAAGAAGGATTGAACTTTGTAACTGTATTAATAATAATAAATATGATCCTACAAGTGCGCGCCTCACATCTTCAGCCATCGAATAGATGAGCATTACCTGCGTATAGTGCGCACGGTGATAAGGGCGCACGACAATCCCAGAGTCACGTCCGCCAAGGTAAGGGCGATCGGTTGGGAACCACCTGCGATACGGATCACCTGCCATTCTGCAAATATCTCCAAGGCGAGCACGAGGAGACGCTTCACCTCGAAGACGGCCAACGTGAAAGCCACGCCGTAACCGAACTTTACCTCCCACCCACAGGTGCAGCTTACTCTTTTGCGGTAAACCAGGCTGCGACCGTTCTCCGTCATTCAACGACTGCACGACGCCGCGTCTATTTTATTTTATGGACAATTTCGCTCTGTTGTAATTTTTTCCCGTCCTCCACGGCCAAGTGTCCCGCGTGCACAAAATAAAATACGGAACGTGCCCAGAGAAATTTCTGTTATATCACTTCACCGATTGTATTATTTCTTTGGTAATTGTAGATATCTTGACTAGGAGTTAAATTAATTGGATAAGTTTTTGGAAATTTGCGGTGTGAAGTACGTAAAAATTATTTTCATTATCCTGTGAAATTCATATGTATATATTTGTATATTTAATTGTAAAAGACAAGACTTCTGTACAAAATAAGTTGTAATCGTTTTATATTAATGACGAGGTGAGAAAGAGAGATGTCCCTTTATTCCCCGGTTCTTTCCTTATAGCGATGTGACATAATAGTGACACATTTCTTTGGCATTGTACGCTTGACACTAATATCTTTGTTCAAACACTATTTCACAATGTCGAATTATCACAAACGTGTCACGACTCACGACTGCCACATGTGCACCGTTTATTACTCATCATTGTTGCGCATACCGGAAGAGGTATGTAAGAAAAAAAAAAAAGAGTTGTTTTGACGAGGTACAATTAGACGCGCCGGGGCTATAATTGACGTGGCGTGCAAATGGGTCGCGTTTGCGTGTGCATATTGCACGTGTCCTAAAGTGGTTACCACGATAGTTGCGCAATTTCTTCATCTCGAAATATTGGATCTCTTTATTGGTCGCGAGACGATGAGAAACGTCCATTCGTAAACACTATTTGTACATTTGTAATCGCGACTTTGCCACTTTAGCAATAATTAATAAAATAATTACTTAATATAATAAATACAAATATTTTAAGTACAATAACAAAATCATTATTCTTTGTTTTATTGTCGTATTAATTATTATAAGAGGATCGTAACATTCAAATGGAAAAAACCATTTTTTATTCAATATAAAAATAATGTATGAAAATATGACGTCTGTAAAATTATATACATATCAGTCTTATCTGTAATATGTTACTTAAAATTGCGGAGTTAATATATGTTTTTCATGCGCTTAATGTTGAGTAACATTAGTTACTCGATATAGATTGGAAGAGTCAGGATTGAACTTGAAATGAAATTATTTAAGTCAATCCGATTGTAAGTGTTACAAACGATTGAAGAATATTCGAATAAAACTCACCAGTAAGCATCGTGCGCTAAAATAGGATAATTTCTCGAATCTTGACAAAGAATGTGTGGGTTTGGTTATGATTACGTTTCGTATAAAATATAGAATGTATAACATGAAGAGCACGCCTAAGGCAATGACACACTGTTAGCCTCGCTAGACCGATATCGATTTATTTCGAGATTGTAATATCAAAAATGTACAAAATGTAAATACCCGTATACAAAGTGTAAATGTTATAACTAAATATGAGCTTACAAATACAACATATGCACATAATTAATAGAACAACTCCATTTCGATTCCATTAAACGTATCCTTATTATAATTTCAGAGGTCTAAGCAAACTTTCAATAATGAGGATGTAAAATGTTCTTATATTACGGTCAAATTATGACGAATTATTTCGGAGTAAAAAATTTAATGAAATTAATTAATTTTTCTCTTCCATTAGAGTCTTTCAGTAAATTATACGTTTAAAAGCATACGTAATTTATATACATATAACTTTTTTATTTTTACTTATAAAACATATTGTTAAAACATGATTGTTTAATTTGAAAATATCCTGTGTAATTTAGAGTAAATTATACTGCTAGAAATATCTGAATGGAAGTATAATATGTATAATTGTTTATTAATTTTAATAATTAAAAATTATGACAACAATAATATGGTATCCAATGTAATTTATACTCAATTTATATGAGAATTATTTTAGAATTAAGTGCTACTGAATAATTGAGCATTAGTTCGAATACTTTCACCTTCAGACTATATATATTTAGATTAAAAATTCCAAAATTACTGTAATTATATTATTAATTATACTGTAATTACTAATTATTTTAAGTATTAATACTTGCACTAGTTTTATTATGTAAGATGTCTCACAATTACAATGCAACATTTTAATAACGTATTTTGGAGATAAAATTAAGTAACAAATTTTAATACAATAATTTCGACATCACAGTAGGTTTTTAATTATAACTGATCAAAGATAGGTATCACAGCTAAATGTTAGATTAGTAATTATTTTAGTTACTTTTATTGTATTTACTCCACTTCAGATATACAAAATATAAAAATAAGAACAAATTGTTTTTCTCAAGTGTGTGTGAAACCGTTAATTGAATTTAATAATCCTAATAACATGAATTATTAACATTTCAATATTTAGCTGTGCAGTATAAATCAGTATTTTCTTTGGACATCACAAGTAACGGACTGATGCGTGTACGTTATTTTTAATAGTTCATAATTCAAAACTTATTCCCAGTAAGAAATAACGGTTGAAAAGATAAATGTCAAATACGTCGGATATCAATTTGATATCGATCGACGTTTTTTCAATCAATCATTTCTCTAGAATTCTCTATATTTTCACATTAGAATTTTGTATTCGGTTTTATCTTCAGAATATGCTTAACATATTATATGGTGGTTGTACGAAGATACCCTGTATTCATTATATATTGATGAACGTTACCGTCTGTGTATGTAAAATAATATTTATTGTTTCCAAGAATACTCGCTATGGATCTATCCAGACAAATTTGCATAGTGCATGAATATATACATAGAAATCTGGTTGGGCCGTAAGTATATGCATAAGGAAATAGGACACTCAATTTCTTTATGCATATGCTTATAGACTGATCTTTTTCACAAAGTCGTATGTCGATTTTTTCGCAATTTCCGGAGAATTCTTTTATATTCTACAAAAATTCGCATGAAAAAGAAATTCTTTTGTTACTGGTATCTTTTGTTACTACAATTAAACTCTCAATCGATGCGCTACCGAAATAGTTTGATCTTTACGTACTTCTTTCCAAATTTCGAACAAGCAAGATAGGAAAAAGTTTTTATTTTGAACAGATTACGCTAATTTATAAAGAATTTTAAAAAGTAAATTCTTTTTGAGTCTATAACGATTACTTATTATTTGGGCTATTACCGCACATATCTCTGCATAGAATAATAATTTTTCAAAAAATTATTATTCTCTGCAGAGATATGTGCGGTATGTAAAAGAATTTACTGTTTTAAATTCTTTCTAAATTAGCGTAATCTGTTCAAAATAAAAATTTTTCCTATCTTGCTTATTGGAAATTTGGAAAGAAGTACGCAAAGATTAAGCAATTTCGGCAGCGCATCGATTGAGAGTTTAATTGAAGTAACAAAAGATACCAGTAACAAAAGAATTTCTTTTTCATGCGAATTCTTGTAGAATATAAAAGAATTCTCCGGAAATTGCGAAAAAATCGAGATACGACTTTGTGAAAAAGATCAGTCTATGAGCATATGCATAAAGAAATTGAGTGTCCTATTTCCTTATGCATATACTTACGGCCCAACCAGATTTTAGTTGAAGTAACAAAAGGTACCAGTCCGATTATGAAAAATTATATTACAATGAATATAACGATCAGTATATAACAATCAGTTGTTATGCATATATGCATGTTCGTCTGGACGGCCCTTATGTGTTACTGCATGCATATCATTTCGTTTTATGTATTCTTTATGTAGGAACATTCACCGATTTTCGAAAAATTATTATTCTACGCAGAGATATGTGCGGTAATAGCCCAAACAATAAGTAATTGTTATAAACTCAAGAAGAATTTAATTTTTTAAATTCTTTATAAATTAGCGTAATCTGTACAAAATAAACTTCAAAAGAATTTCCTTTTGATTCAAATTCTTGTGGAATATAAAAGAATTCTCTTTGCTTTTGAAAAAAGTTCAGAATTTGCACAAACGTAAAAGCGAATTTTTTTGAATTCTTAAAAATGTGTTTAGAACAAAAATGGGATGGAAAAGAAATTCTAATTTTCATAATTTGAGAATTCAAAAAGTATTCCTTTTGGAGTCTCTGCGCTATTCGAGATAAATTACACCTAATCACGTCTATGCAGATTTTCCTCGTATTGATTGTACTTATACTCATTGAAATATAATTTTTCATAATCTGACTGGTATCTTTTGTTACTTTAATTAAACTGTCAATGGATAGGCTGCTGAAATATCTCGATCTTTGCATACTTCTTTCCAAACTTCCAATAAGCAGTGTAGGAATAATTTTTCAGTATATAAATCGAGTATCGCATTAAACCATTAAAAATTGCGCGGAAGAATGGAGACCACCAGGCACTAGGTCTCAGCAAGTACTTCAGCACAAAGTGTTGCAGGTTGAACAAGTACCAGCTGTAAAACGGCATAGTCGAGGTATCTGAAAATTTATTTTATTATATATTAATTATGTAATGTCATACATTATATGTTGCAATGTATAGGCATATTGCATATTATGTACGTAGTTTCGTATATTCAACATTAACACTTTATTAGTATTCATAGTTAGATCTTATATTCAAGACCGTCTTGAATTTATCTTAAGATGCTGTATGGAACATTTCATTAGCTACGAAGTATCTAAAGATGATCTTGAGACAGTCTTGATGAGATCTGACTATGAATACCGGCCTAAGAATCTCTATAAGAAATTGTGACTTTCGTTAGTCATTTATTGTACTTGTTAATTTTATTAATTTCATGAAGATTAATTCTTATTAAATTACCCATTTCAATGGAATAACTTTTGTTACGCGCAGTCGAGGAAGCCAAGTAAAGTGTAAAGGCAGAGAACGCTACTGGTTCTATATTGAAGTTGATGGGCGAAAGGCTCTGCAGCATCACAACGCCCATCTGATGAGCATGCTCGTTCTTATTTGCCAGGCTAGGAATGAAAATCTCATCCAGTAATCTTTGGCAAAGTAGGTGGGTCTCTTCGACAGTTCCGGTGCAAAGATTAAATCTAGAAAAACATATTCATGAAAATCATGTAAACGGATTTGAGTGTATATTTCAGTACAAATTAAAATATCTCCGACAAATTATTTTACTAATATATCTGATAACCCACCACGAAAATCCGCTGTTGCCTACGCTTTTGTAACTCTACTGTATACAATATGAGATAAGAGAAGTACGAACTTGTCGTCTATTCCAAGCATGCTGCCGATGACCCGCCATAAATGCACCACACCTTCCATTTCTTCGGAGGTGACGTATATCCCCAGATATTCCTTGCTCAGTACAGAATATCCCATAAATCCGAACTGCGCGAGTACCATGTCCAATTGCGTCGGCTTATGAACACCAGCCTCGGTACTTCTTTTGAACGCAATACAGTGTTTTCGACGTACAATTTTTAGAGATTCTAAGAATCTGCAATAATTGTTACACATATAGTTTTACAGCAATTATACATAATATGTACACTGCGGAAATAAAAAGCAAATTTCTCGCTCTCTTTATATCGTAACAAAACGAGAATTTTCGAAGATAATTAGATATAAATAGATATTGCACGTATATATGAGCCCTTAACTGCAAAAATAGTTTTAGTATTACGTGATACGCATAATTATGCTTCAGCGGATTTCGATGCAAATTTTAATTTATGTAAAGCGATTGTAAGAAAATCTGATGTACAAAAACTGACGTGCAAAAACTTGACACGCCTGGATTGCATTAAACAGCGTACAGGCGCACATTATTATATTATAATACTCACATATCCTCTTATATTAATTATAAAAATATAATAATTAATACAATAAATTATAAGAACATAAATTTAAGAAACAAAATATCCTCCGTGAATTTTCCATTTTTTACATAAATAATAAAAATATAATCTTATCCAATATTTTATTTTAATAAGATGCAGGCATCTGTAATATTGTTTAATAGTTGATCAAAGCAGGTTTGCAATTAAGGGCTCGCCAGTTAAAATATAAATAATAATATAATGATTCATTATTATTATACTAATTTACCCATTAGATTTTTGAATAATATATAGAGATACAAGTAAAATAATTATATTTGATTTTATGGACACAATTACAAGTTGTCCCTAATTTTTAATATCAAATCTTTTGTAAAGCTGCGAGTACGTGTATCTGACGGGTAATTTTGTATTGATTCTTAATATTGCTTGTATTCGCTGAAGATTTTCAATATTTTTTCCGCAATGTTTTGTTTTAAATACAAACACTCTTATTTTCTTGTACTCGAATCTTACTCGTTAGGTTTGCCATTGGGTTCCTTTTCATGCCATACGAATGTATGCAGAATCGTCTCCGCATATCTGCGATACGCCAAACAAGGAGTACCACTTTTTTTGGTGAACGTAACTACATCCAGTATGGTTGAAATGGCTAAGAGAGATACAAGACCGGAAAGCTTCGCGATCATCATGGAGAACACATTATTATAGAAAGCCTGTTGACCCAACCGAAATTTCTTCTCGTCATAGAACGGCGGTAATTCTGGTTTCATATCGTTGAAGTTCATTATACTTTTAGATCCTTCAGTGAGAATAATTTGCAGTCGTTTCTCCACCGCATCTAAAAGTTCAAATTGTCTAATAAAATTACAAACAATTTAACAAAATTGTTAAATTTCGAAAATGTTTTATTTATGCGATATAAAAAAGCATGTATTGTCACCTGATAAACTCAGTTGTTTCATTTTCCTGTTATTTCTTTATTGATATTCTTGAACTTTTAATATGTTTTTTCATTTATGCATACACACTACACGTTTAAATTATTATTAGTTATTCAGAAATTTTTTCCTTAAATGATATATGTATAATAAAACCTCGATTCAACAGGTTAATTAAGGGAGTAGGGAAGAAGAAGTGTCCATTAATGTTGCAAGTTTATTAAATCGAATTTAACCCAAGGCACTTTATATCATTTTTTATTGTTTTTAATATAAATAAAGCTTTAATACAGTATTGTACAATGTAAAATTATCAATTTTACTTTTAATTTCTGTATTTATATTTAAAGTTTACATGTTTTCTTTTAACTTTTTTTACTTAATGCTTTACTTTCAATTGCAAAGATTGCAAAATTATTTAATAAATGAAGTCACATTATATAAATTTATATCACAGAAACATTTTGTATAGGTCATAATCTACGTACGCACGATATCTTGAGGCAAATTGAAGCCGGTATTCATAGCCGGATCTTATATTCAAGACTGTCTTGAACTCATCTAAAGATGCTGTACGGAACATTTCATTAGCTACAGAGTATCTAAAGATGACTCTGAGATAGTCTTGAATATAAGATCTGACTGTGAATACTGGCCTGAGAGTCTGACAAGGAAATCCGCTGAGGTGTCCCCCTATCTTGATCTTAAAGAACTTTTAATATGTTGTTTTCTAGACAAAAAATAAGCAACATACATTTTTCTATACATGCTTATACGTATGTTTAGAGGGTGAAACACTTCTTTGAAAAAGAATAGGTTTTTCTCTTCCGATGAATATCCTTGAAACTAAAGAAAATTCAATAATTTTAAAGGTTGAATGGCTTTAGAAGTACTATACAACAGTAACGACAAAATTCTTTAGTGTTTTAATTTCTTTTAATACCTCCACCATTAAAAAAATTTACATCCCTTGTTTCTTATCTAGAAAACATATAAAAGCTTATAAAAATGGAAGGGGACATCTCATTGTCAGCGTGTTTCCTTGTGAGACTGAAACAAAGTAAATCTACCCCACGCTACGCAAAATAAATGCAATATAAAATGCGCATAACGCATATTTTTATCCACTACATTCGAAGTACGCGTTATATCTGGATTTGTTAAATTGAGGTTTTACTGTATTATTAAAAAAAGGATATCTTTAAAAATAGTTCTTTGAAGGATTAAAACTATATCTTAGTACTTTAAATCCTCATATTTATTATTATTATATTATTATATTATTATATTTTGTTAATGTATAGTATTAAATTTTCTTTTTCTTTTTCCGTCAACTCTGTATTCACGAAGGTTAAGCTCCAAATGGGATTGTTACTTAAATCACCCATTGTGAAGCATAATTCGGCATTTCCAAAGCCACGCTTGGCAGAATAAGAAGGCACGTAATGATTTCATGCAAACAATTGCACGAACCGATGGTACACTGCCGGTCAAAAGTTTCCGGACACTTTCAAAATTAGTAATTTCTCTATAAGTTAGACTGACTTATTTATTAAGTAAAATAAATGTGCAACTGTCCTTAAAAACACAAACTGAAACGAAAATTTAATGTATCTTAATAAAAATTGCATACGAAAATTTTTGGCACTTCACATGCTCCGTACATAAAAGAAATATCAAAGTCAATTGCGTAGTTTGTATTTAGTTTATTTCATCATGCACGGAAAGATGATAAAATACAATCTTAAATGACCGGAGTAAATATTCTCTTTTCGCGAATAATTGAGCGTCGGGCTAATTGAGTTTTCGTCACGTGAACTATACAGGGTGTTCCAGGAAGAAAGGTCAACGTTCTGGGAGGTGATAACATCAATCATCTTCATATTCATATTCAAAAATCTTCATATGAATATATGTTCCATTCCCCACTGTTTCCGAGACAGAGCACATTTTGTCGACGTTCTCGCTCAGATAAAACATGAAACACTGAGAAGCATTCACTTTCACGCAATGTATTCCAAACCTTGGAAAACACTTTACGATTCGGAATTCAGTGTGTAGAAAAGCGTCGACGGTATTCTTCAACAGCAGTAGTAGCACTGCCATCACAGAAACCGTAAACACACAGCATATCTGCATATTCTACATTTGTGAATATGCGAGGCATTTTGAACATTTCTGCAATGTTATCAGCACAACAGTCAACAGACGTGTAAGAGTAAATTCCCGCAGGCGTTTATGAGGTTGGATGAAGTGTGAAGTGTACAGAAAAACTTCAAGTAGCTCTATCTCGGAAACAGTGGGAAATGGGACATATACGAGGTCTGTCCGGAAAGTATCCGGCCTTGTGCTGCAGCAGGAGAAAGAGCTAAATCTGATCAATGGCGACGATGTCCCCTTCAACGTACTCCCCTTTGGAAGCTACAACCTTCTCGCGATTTCCTCCACGTCATCGAATCTTCTTCCCTTAAGAGGATTTTTCAATTTGGGGAACAGCCAGAAGTCGCAGGGTGCCCAGGTCAGGACTGTATGGGGGCTGACGAAGCTGAACAATGCCGTTTTTCACAAGAAATTGCTGGATAAGTTGCGATGCGTGGACAGGTGCGTTGTCGTGGTGCAGCACCCAGTCGCCACTTTTCCACAAATCTGGCCATTTCCTTCTCGCTGCGTCACGCACTCCCCAGACAGCACACATGTCTAAAAGGCGCCATAAAGATATCTTTAAGACACCTTTTAGACGTACATGTCTAAAAAATAACTTAATGACGTCTTAAAGATGTCTTTTAGACATGTGTGCTGTCTGGGTCGTTTCAAAACTTCTTTGTAATATTCTTTATTCACCGTCCGACCTTTTGGAGCGTATCCGCGATGAATAACTCCTTTCTGGTCGAAAAAAAAAAACAGTGAGCACAGCCTTGATGTTGCTCCGACTCTGCACGACCACTTTTAAATCGCTTAAACCATTCTTTAATCTGCGTATCACTCATGGATTCATCGTCATATACGAGTACTCGTACTTGACGAATCGTGTGGATGGTTTCCGAACACGAATGGCCAAGTTTTTGGCAAAATTTAATGCACGCTCTTTGTTCGATGCGTTCAGTCATCGTGAAATGCGACTCGCACAAAATTCAATGTTTACTAAACAGCGTACCGTTGTCGACTGAAGACTCGACGGACCGTGCTGCCTGGCAGGGGCACTCATAAAGGTTCCCCCTAAATTATGAATAGTTACTTTTATCAATAGCACACCCGGGTATAAGGTTAGAGCACAAGGTCGGATACTTTCCGGACACACCTCGTATTCATATGAACATTTTTGCTTAAAATAACCGATACTATCACCTCCCAGAATATTGACCTTTCCTCCTGGAACACCCTGCATAAATCTCCCGAAATAGCCTGTATAAATCTTCTTTGGCGGAACTTTTCGAATTCCTCCAGAACTACTATATACTTACAGCATGCGAAAGTGACGATAAAATGCAATAAGAGGAACATAAATTCTCTCTCACGGGATCAGTTCTATTACAGTCGTTGGTCTACAGAAGAAGCGCAGAAAGGAACAGGCGGGAATAATGCGTATCGGAATACCGCGAGCAACTAAAGTTGTCCGCGGTCTCGAAAATTTCCACGTCAATCTTTAAAACTATCAATTCGATACAACATAACAATTAAAATAACTGTCATCGTTGAATATCGCAAGTAACACAAAAGCCAAGTACTTAATCACACTTAAGTAATGCACTTATTTCATCGTAAATTTTTTATACAAAAATAATATAGTGACGCTTTAAGTGAAATGTGTTTAATGAAGCTGTACGATAAAATCAGAGTTACAGATTAAAATTACAAAGTACTTGAACAAAAGCGGCAGTATCGCATGACTTCGTTGTTCAATGGGTTTGTTTTCTGTTCCTGCACTGGTGAACTAGTGCAGTAAGCTAGAATGAGAAAAAATATGCTTGTCTTACTCCAATTTATTGCACTAGTTCACTAGTGTAGGAACAGAAAACAAGCCTAATGATTTAAACTGCACTGACTTTCCGATGTCTCTATTCAGACTTGTCTCACACCAGATTACCTATTGCTTTAGACTCATGTCACAAAACTAGTCCAGGAAATGTTAGAAGCACTAGGAAGTGCCACCTATGCACCTTATTCATTACACTTTGCCCCTTCCGACTACCACTTGTTTCGGTCGATGGCACACGCACTTGCTGACGAACGCTTCAATTCTTATGAAGACGTCGAAAAATAGGTCTCTGACTGGAGTTTATTAGCAATTGCAAGAACTGTCCAGATTTGGACTTTTCGGCTGATTTTTGCGAGTTACCGCCTATTGCTAGTCGAGTCACTTGACAATCGTCATCGAGCGCGTGGCGCTCAACTTCAGATACGGCGTTACATTACAAAACAACCCTCGTGCAGCACCAATTTGGAATTTCCAAAGCCACGCTTGGCAGAACAAGAGGACATATGTAATGATGTCGTGCGGAGATGGCACGACTCGATCGTACATGTTCCGCATGTAGAAATGTCGAAATCGACTTTAACATCTGTGCGTGCATACGTGGATGGAATCCGAGAAATTTCGTGAGTTTTAACAATTCGACATAATGTGTCCTACGTAATTATATACAGGACTTTACTTATAATATAGTAATTAAAAATAGCACGAGCAAGCATACTTATTGGTCGGACAAAAATAGATTAATAGATAACCTACTCTACCCTAGTAGCATAATATATTGACGCAATATTAGGAAATAAAGTAAACCTAGTATTCCTAATATTGGTCCAATATTATAAGATTGACGCCTTCCCTTATTTAGCTAATATGTCTATTTAGCAATATTGGTCTAATATTGTATCAATATTAGACCAATATTCTTATTACATTGTTATATATTGACCAATGCATTCCCAATATCAATTTAATTATTATATAATTATTATATAATTATCATCGTGCAATATTTACATTTACATTTAATCCATGGCCAATATTGGCTTTACATTGGACAATATCGGCCAGTGCATTTCTAACTCTCTAAAAATCAATCAGTGGGTTACCACTGAAAGTCGCAGTGATATACGTGCAACTGTAAATCAGTGACTATTCACTGCTTTCAGTGATAATTCACTGACAGATTTTTAGAGAGAATATAACCAACATTGGACCAGTATTTAGCCAACGTTTAGCCAATGCACTGTGCTACTAGAGTATAGTTGTGATTATATAATATATGTGTTTTAAGATTAAAAATAACTGATGATATCAATAGTATTGTCATATATGTATACATATAGCATGTACGTTTGTAATTTCTACAAGTATTACTTTTTTATAAACTGTGGAGAATGACATAAATAGAAATTTCATACAAAATATAAAGGATTGTTAATAATAATAATAATTATTATTATATCTAATAATTATTATTAACAATCAGTTATGAATATAATTCTAAAATAAATAACGATCAAAAACAATAATTATACTGTCCGAAAATTCGTTTATTTAAATACATCTAAACATATGTTTTTATTTAACTAATAATATATTTATAGTTAACTAATAAACATATGTTTTATTTAAGAAATAAGGCTTTGATTTTTATTGCTTGCTATAATTTTTTAATAAAACTACAAATAAAAGTTTATTTGGAAGTAATAATGACACCATGAGTTACAAATATTTTGCACAGACTGAAGTATTTGAAAGTTGCTTTCGTTATACACTTATTTACACATGTAACATTCCATAGAGGAATCGTAGAAAACGTTCTGGCACGCATGCAAGAAAGACAGGCAGACAAACGGAGAGAAAGAAAGCTTATACTAAATAAATACTATTATGCGTTGTTAAAATGCCTTATAAGATATACCATTTTATCTTAAGAGGATATTTTTTTTATACAAAAATCAAACATGCCTTTTTTCTTATTTCATACACTCAAGGCGCTCAAAGATTTAGGTGGCTTAAGATACACAATATTGCTTAATATATATTATTTAAATGAAAATCTTTTAAAATATTATTTAGTATTTGCTAAATTTACATAACGCTTTTTATAGAAAATTGGACAAGATTTACGAGACAAGTCGATCTTTTTTCGCAAGATTGTATCTCGATTTTACGTAACTTTGGTATTTCTGCTTAAACACTCATTTAGAAAAAAAATTTTCTCTCGATTTTACGTAACTTTGGTATTTCTGCTTAAATACTCATTTAGAACCAAAATTTTGGTTCTAAATGAGTATTTAAGTAGATACCAAAGTTGCGTAAAATCGAGATACAATCTTGTGAAAAAAGGAGTCGATTTGTCTCGTAAATCTTGCCAAGCTTTGTATAAACATATGAGCAGACAAACCAGAAATTGTGCAAAATCGAGATACGACATTGCGAAAGAGATTAATTAAAATATCCCAGCACTGAAAAAAAATCTGATAGATTCAACCAGTCGTCTGTTAGAAAATGGATCAGAATTTCTTTAGGATTTACCATGAAAGATATTTCATAACCAGAAGTTTGCTAGACTTCACTACTAAATCTGGTAAATCCTAAAGGAATTCTGATTCGTCCATTTTCTAACAGACGACTAGTTGAATCTATCAGATTTTTTTTTCAGTGAGTAAACACCAACTAAGAGATGGTAACATAATCAATATTATAATTTCTCACTCAACAAGATAATATAATATATGTTGTACATAATACAGTTATATTGTTGAAAAATTATAATGTTGATGTTGGGTAATTGTTAGTTGATATTTACCTGAGATAGAATTAACTATTAACAATACATATTGACAATACTTTGTATATTTTTAAAGCTAAATATTAATATCTTTCTTTGAAACACAGAATTATATAATGAGCCTCTCATATACAATATTCATTGAACTTTTATCTTATAAATTTCAAACTCGTTTAGAAATGTGTGATAATTACGTTTCATTACAAAACATGATTGATACATTCATTTGGACTTTAATTTAAAAACATTACATTTTCAAGAATGTGAATAATCACGTAGTGTTCTTGCAAATCTTTTTAAATTAAAGTCCAAGGAAACGCGGTGATAATATCGCATAAGATATAGGTACACAAATAATATACAGGAATGCAATTATGTCACGTTTTGTAATTGTAATCATAATGCTGTATCATCACAATGCATAATCAACAAAAATTTTTTTGTATTTTAACACAAACAACATCTACACAATACATATGTACACGTATTTGGATATAACATTTCTCCGAATGTTATGTCAATATATGAACGCTACGTGACATTATTGTTTTATCTGAGAGGTTCAATTATACATCACGTAGACTTTTATAAATTTAATTTGTAGAATTTATTATAATCAATCAATAAATATTTAGTCAGTAATGTTTATGAATTGATTTTGTTGTAAAGTTTCAAAAAGGACATAAAATTTGTTACTTAAAAAGCTGTTATTTAATCAAAGCTCGTACTTCAGAGCTCCTTTTTCCAACGTGTAATCGTGTAATACAGCAAATGCTACAGCAAGAAATACCATCAATGTAAGTCGAGGTCACAACGTTCTCCATTCACTTCGATATACGTTTTCTTGTTAATGGTGGATAGTAACAAAGAGAAGTTTGGTTTAAACTACATTTTAGTACCTGTGCTTTACTTTTTAAGCAAATTTTTTACACTGTTTATGCAATATTTTGTTTATCTACACATATGATTACCATTACAATTTTTTTCTTATATTGTGTTATTATTATTGCTATTATTATACTATTTATATTGTTGAATGTGTCAACACTCTTTTTTTTGTGTGCCAAGGATCTAGATTTGTATGCAGTGATGGGTAAAATTTATTTTAAATAACGAATAAGAAATAACAAATAAAATGTATTTATTCGTGAATAATGAATAATTCTATCATTCGTTTTTTGTATGGAATGAATAACAAATAATTTATTTGTAATTTATAATTTTTGTTCAAAAATATAAGGAAAGAGGAAGAAAATTGAAATGATCATAAAGAGTGATATGCAAATGGAAAACTAAAGTTGATTTAATTTTTTAACGTAAAATTATAATAATTTACTTATTAGTACTTTTTAATAAATAAATTATAACATAAAATTAAATAAACTTACAATAAATAACATGAAAATGCAAATTTATTTTAATAGAAATATGTACCAGTATTTTTAATTAATAAAATGAAAAATTAATGAATGAATATAATGAAATAAAAACAAATTTTATTCATAAATAATGAAAGAGAAATATAACGAAAAAGTGTACAGTCAACTTTAGTTTATTAAAACGTATATTTTAGACTACTAGTTGATTCATAAGAAAGAACTCAATGATAATTTATACAATTTTCTGTTTGAGATGTTTTCATGGTTTAATATTATATGTGGAAAATTCTGTAAATAAATATATTACATCATATACATTTTTGTAACCTTCAAGTATAATCGCTTTGTAATTACAAATAATATCATTTAATTGCCTTCTGATTACACACAAAATAATAAAAAAATATATTATATTTCTTATTATCTCTGCAGTCAATAATACGATATGAATTATATTGAATTTATATTTAATTAGATTGAACTATACACCAATATAGCTTCTTAATATGTTTCGAGATTCATGTTTTGACAATTTTATGCTATCGATTAGATAAACTTTCGCCAAATAAGATTATTGCCACATACAATATTGTGTCACATCCTCGAAGTACAGATTTTAATATATACGTTTCGAGAATATTATATAACACTTCTCGTCTCAATATATGAAAGCTGTTTGCACATAATTGTGTATATATGAAGTTTCTTTATTACGAAATTCTTCTGTAACTTCATTAAACAAAACCTTGGAAAATATTGCTACTAAGTAGTGCGCATGTACATACTTAACAATTTTTGGCTTGCAATTATCCTTTAAGTTTATTTATATTTTATTATAATTATAATTATATATTTTTTGCCTTTCTTGCAGTTTTAAATATGTTTTCTTACGTAAATATATCTAAATATATTTTTAAATATATTTACACAGTCAAAGTTTGTTATTGAAATACATTATTTCAGTTTTTTTACTGTTGCAAATACATAATATTAGTTTTAATTTTATTTAACTTCAATTATACATCAATTACAATTTTGATAAAGAAAGTTTTATTTTAGTTAAAAGGGCCAGTTGTTCCAAACTCTTGGTAAGTTAACTAACAGTTAAATCATATAGACGTCTTTGTTTTTCCTTCAAATTAGACAAAGTTAGACGTACAATTTAACTATTAGTTTACCAAGAGGTTGGAAAAAGCGGCCCTTAAAGTTAAAATATATAATTGTAAGATACACTGCACACAATAATAATAAAAAATAAGTTAAAATTAAATTTGTTTACGTGATACTATATAAATTCATAAAAGTAAATGTAAACAGGTCTGACTAACTAGTTTCTATACGTAATTCAGTGAAAAGAGATATTTCTCTCGTGAAAAATAACTGACCTGACACAGCGGCATTGTCCAGATCATTTTTAATCATCTTGGCCGCTTTATTTTAATATCAGACGGTTGCGTTATAAATAGTTCGAACCATATGATCCGACGATTTACTTCATGGCATCAACAGGGCAAAACTAGTCAGGATGGTATTCAGAGCGTGATCCTGTGCAACCAAGCGAGTGTCGTGAGACGTTTATGTCGCGAAAGTCTCAATCGTACTGACTGTGTGTTCACTCTGTGCCTTGCTGGAACCAGTTTCGTGCATCTTCTGGAGAAAGGAGCCCCTTCCCTCTGTCTTTTACCTTTCCAATTCATGATACTTTTTCTGGGCAACGAATAAACTTGTAACTTTGAAACAATGTGCTCCTGATAAAACCGGTATTAAATTCTCCAAAAAGAGATCGTTGAAAGAAAAATTCCTTTTGCATATATCTCTTCCCCCCCCCCCTCCCGCTCTCTCTGTCTCTCTTTAACTCCGCGAATGCTCGTCGACAATGTTCTTGATCTCAAACTGCGCTTGTAAAATTACCGGAATATGCTTTGGAAATTATATAACAAAGGAAATAGATTTGCGGCGTGATGTTTAGGCTGCAGAAATTTCGAAGTTACAGTTAAATGTTCGATATATGTACGAGGCAAGTTGAAACAGGACGGTTGATCATTAAGACGCCTCTCAACGCCTTCTTCCTAATCATTTATTTTAACGCACTCGCTATAGCGCGACGTGCACATGAAACACTATTTGTTTTACGTTATATAACGCATGTCCAAATCTATTTTCGAATGCGCGAGGTAAGAGCGACGCATGATATCACGTCGCTTTCACATCGGGAAACGGAAGATGTTTCTGATTGTCGATCGGAAATCGGATGTAACGGTCGTGCTGATGTATTCGCAAGCCAATTCCGCGACATTTTCGTCGCTTCCTCGAAGAAACGATTCGAATCTCTGCACTTATGTCCACCGCACTAACGACACTTTCGCAAATCACTATTTGTCACCGGAAAAACCATGTGTCACTGTTTGAAATTGTCCAGCGGCAGGTGGTCGACAAAACTGACTTCGTTTCGTGAGAATATACAGTGCTTCTAAGCGAGTGAGAGTCCATTGCACGCCTCGTTTGGTATAGACAGGAAAGGGAAAGTCCTCCCTGTTTCGTTCTTCTCACGTGGAATCCTTTAGTGCGGCACGAAGCACCAAAATAATCCGTTACGATAGACGTAATAGTGAAAGCATTGGTAGAACTGTACGTTTAGTATTTTGACTGCATTATCTACATATTTTAACAGGTAGATATTTCACGCCTCTCGACGTAAAGTTTTTATATTATCAAACTTGTATACGGCATTTCTCTTGATGTCTCGAGTAATTGAGATGAAAGAGAAAAAGAAACTTTAATTGACTGCGCAAAATATTACCTCAGTCAGGTATTTGAACCTGGACCTTCACTTTAGGCGGACGTCTCAACCAGTTCGACCACCGAGGCATATGCTAATATTTGTCGCAATAACAGGATAGATGTCTACGCGTATGTTTTCGACTTTTGTGAACTGCGCACCGATACGGATTGTCGGTTGAACACAGCACTATCGAAACGCGATTTTTAAGTATCCCCGTTCCCTTTACCCTCCCCCCTTAGACACCATTAGTCGGTCTAGGTGTATAAATAACATTAAGAATAATTTGACGCCAGCAGATAAATAACCATGATAGTACCAAATAGTACCAAATAGAAAACCAGTAAACTGATTATATTATTACACTGGTTAAAATATACTTGAATCTCTCAACACGTGACTGAATTCCTTCTTTAATCTATTAATTTCCGATTTCTACAGAAATATATTTCACAAATAGATTTAATATCGCCAGTAATATAAAACCAATGATATGTAGTTTTTCAAAAACGACCTACACTGGTCAATGTTTTTATTTAAAAAGCAAACGACGTTTCGGTCCCGGATTTGGCTCCTTTTCAAGTAATCTGCAAACGTACATACCCAGACAGCACAGATCTCCTGAAGACGTTTTAAAGACATCCTCTGGACGTCCTTATGTCCTAAGAACGTTCCCAGGACATCCATAGGATATCGTGTGCCGTCTGGGTAATTTAACACTAAATTGTTTTTAAAGTATAGCGTAAATAATCACAGCGAAAATAAATTGCAAATTCTCATATCGTTCGTTTGGCCAATATCGTTATGCTAATAAGCTGTGTTAAGCAAGAGAGTTATACTTTACATTGTTACGAATTAATAAATGTCAAGAGTGAATAAAGATAAATAAGAATAAATAGGAATAAATATGAAATAAATTTAGCATATTAGAAAACGCCGCAAAGAGTGAAGGCCCAAACACAACCCAGTCAGAAATGACTCGTCGATCGACGTAGAATTAAACGATGTCGCCTCGATATCAAAACCGCCATATTGGCGTCGATCGTCAAGTCATTTCCGATTGGGAATGCCAGGCAACAGAACAGGGAATAGAATTTCTGACGCGTTGGATTGGTTGGAAGAAAATTTCCGACGAATCCAACGCGTCAAAAATTATATTCCCTGTTGCCTGGCATTGTGTGATAGGCTTTACAACACCGGAATGCTACGCTTATTAACATAACGATATTGGCCAAACGAACGATATGAAATCAATAAAAATTGCGTAAAAAGGTATAGATTTGCAATTTACTTTCGCTGTAATTATTTACGCTATATTTAAAAAAAATTTAGTGTTAAGTTATGTACAATACGTTTGCAGATTACTTGAAAAGGGTCCAAATCCGGGACCGAAACGTCGTTTACTTTTTAAATAAAAACATTGGCAAGTGTAGGTCGTTTTTTAAAAACTTCAATACGTATCATTAGAAATATATTTCTTTCTCTGCCTGTAATTTGAATTTATTCTTTCTGTATTCTTTTCTATTTTATTTAAGCATTCTTTAAAATATTTTATTGACCGAATTCTCCAGAATCTTTCGTTCAAATCGAAATATACTTGCTTTTACATTCATAGTTTGTTTTCGGTCCCTTCTCTGACTATATCTCAATGTATGCCAATTTAATTGATTATTGTATATCATTTTCGGTTTTATTCCGTACAGAATTAAGTGCCCTTCTTTTAAAGACTTGAAGAAGACTTCTCAGCATTTTCTCATTCGTTTCCTTTGTTACTACGTCTCTCTGCATATCTTAAGATTTTCAAGAAAATTCAAAAGAAGAAACTACTAAGGAAAAATCTCTTCGCCAACCGAGAAAATATTTTTACTCAAAATAAATTATACTCTGTAATATATCAAGTACCTGTAAAGCAGTCCATAAATTCATATTTATTTATTGCACAGATATTTATTATAATTTCTTATAAAATCTATTATAATAAAGGTTTTTATATATAGGGAAACTATATACCAATACATAAAAATGGCAAAAAATATTAACAATGCAAATATACGCGTGAGCTTCCAATTGATTTGACGTATACTGCTGCACATAGCCAACACTTCTATACTTATCACTTTTTTAATATTTGAGACCAAAATTATAGATAAAATTATAATATAAAACTAATAAAATTTCAATGAAACATATTTTATTTGTAAAAATATGCAGTTTCGAGAAATTAGGAGATTATGGCAAACAATTATGATCTTTCTTGACATGCTCGCTACAGAGAAAGATCGTTTCATATTTATTTGAAAAGACCTTAGAATAAAAAACAATTTTATATCACGTAACATTTTGTAATTTACGAAATCAATTATTATAATAATGTCGAAGTCCTAACGGATGATAAAGCAAGATGTAGATAGGCAGATTTTGGAAAAACCATGTATTATGGAATAATAGATACAATATTCGTGCATGGTAATAATGATATAATAAACTGCAATATACCTGGACAATAATAATAATCAATAATAAGAATCTAAAATAACACAAATACTGAATACATATTATTAACAATAGTGAGAGGAGGAGCGGTCAAGGAAATTTCGGCAGAGAAACGGGCCGCCATCAAATAATAATTAAAAGGGAAACGTCGTGATTAAGTCATAAAACTGACAAAGTTCTCACCGGCGTTCAAGCATACGCTATATTCTCCGAAGACTTAAAAGAAGCAATCAGAATCACGGTATTTCAGTATCATTGTTAAAGACCCGCAGTTTTTTTTTGCAAAATACACAAATTCAATTCATCTTAAATAAACTTATAAATTAACGTCCGCTAAAGCGCACTAAACGCCATGTCTCGTATTCGAATGAAAACTAAAAAGAAAAGAATTAAAAAAGAAAACCGATGCAGGGCCGTATACTTTGCTCGTAGATAAAAAAATATTAACAGGATTTCTAATGAGAAATAATTGTCACCGCGTGGCTAGGGTAATGACTTCATACACAAAAATAAACGTCCTTCACCTTCACCCGAAAACGTCTTTCTTGTTGACGAAGCTCTGCGTTTCACAAAAGACAAGTTACCATAACTGGTAAATTATAATATATGAGTGAGGTTCCATTATACTTATTGATTTGAGGGAATAAGAAGCTCGTTCGCGTCTTATAAATTATTTATGAGGCTCTATCGTCGCTAAATTTATTTTCCATTCGCGAGTCCGCGCCTTCGCAACCTCGTTCTCGAACGGAAAAATCGCGCGAGTAACACATCGATCTGCATTCCGCAGTTCAACCGAGCTGTCGCTCCCATGGCGCTTAGTGTACTAAATATAACAATTGTCTACATCATAGAAAGGACTCGGGTCGCAAAATAATGTCGCTAATAGTTACACAGCCTTATTCCTACACTGTTTCTAGCAGAGTTCAGCCGGTATACCTTGAGAGAGGTCGCAATTTTAAAAAATAACAGAGGTATCTTCGTATCATCACATGTCTTTTTATGCGGCGTACATTTATTTCAACTTCTTTTTTTTCCGCGTAAATTTATAATTGCACTGTGTCGCTTTCTCTGCGGATTGGTCCTTTCCGTATGATTCCGATTGTACATAAACAAGTAGCTACTCGCGAGCTGAGATCTCTCTCTCTGTCTTAATGTTACTAACGAAGCACCTCGAATACACTGAACAAACGTGACTAAAAAGTCCGGCAATAAAATTCAAGAGGAGGCGATTCCCTTCGGTTCGAACAGCTCACAAGTACATTCTAAAATATAAAATGCGACACGGAGATCACGATAAAAGTGCAGTTCGCAAATTTAAATAGTTGCAAAGAGTCTCCCTGTAGTAGTCCGAGTCGGGGTCTCTTAAAACTATCAGTAGGTATACCCAAGATCTTAGAGAAACGGCGAAAGGTTTAAGAATATTTCCTCTTATAAAAATGCCGTTTTCGAACATTTACAGACATCCTTACATTAATTCTTGTAACTAACATTTAAAGCGCTCCTTTAGTTTGTATCCCATTATAAGAAATAACTTTTATAATATAATTTTTATGTTTTTATAATAATTAAAAAATTTAAGCAATTAAAAAAATTGTTCATCTAATATTCGAATATTACAATTATCAGATTTTTATTGAAGAAAAGCACACTCCCAGTATATCGTATATTTACACACAAAGAAAGAAAATAAGCCAGATTGTTTAATTCTATGTGCAGTAACGATTATTTAACACACACTTCTCTTTTTTTTGTTCGTAAAAAAATAATACTTAGTTTTGGAGGATAATTTCGTGTTTCCTAAATCGCTCCGTTCTCAGCCAAGAAGCTACATTACGAAGTATAAAAATATATTTTTAACAAAGCCGACTTCGCGGAGGTCGGTCTAAGACAGCCAATTATTCATTATTTCACACACACATACGACACTATGCGATTAAAACTCGACTCTTTCCAACTATTTCAATTTAAAAATGGCAGCTTTATCCGCCGCTTCATCTTATTGTGGCAGCGATTGGTGAAAATCGTTCGAATACAACAGACAGCGTATCGTCTACGTCGGAGGCCAAAACACCATTTTCGCGCTTAGAAGACCGTTTGTTAGCATTAAGAGCATCGGTGACTACACAATGCGTTTAAACATTGGATTTCGCTAAAACAGTATTAGTTTTTGTTCAGCGCTTTCAGGAACAAGGTCGCCGATGCACGATGTGCGTTTAGACGTTCCGTCACGCGTTAAATAAGAAAATAATGTACGCGACCCAGTCGTGACTAATCGAGGAATAATTGGGTGATTGTGTGCGCGATAATTGACCGATTAGTCTCGATCAGGCTGTACGTCATGGGCGAATCTTTCTTCTTAGGCTGAGTAAAACTGGCAGAGTACTCCCAACCGAGAAGCGCGGTTTTCTCAAGTTGGTTACTATGTGGTAATCCTACATCTCTTCCTCTTATCTATATACGAGATTACGGCGAGTTCGTGATGGCAGATTTGTCCCCTGTAAATCGCGTAATTGACTCTGAGTATTTAACGCGTGGAGGACAATCGTTCGAACGGAAACTTATGACGAATGACGTCGAAGAAACTGATGTACGGTCGACTTGCGGTCGAAAAATTGGATAATGATTCTGCACGAACGCGGCCAGTGAGTCGTCGTTTAATTCTTTCCAATGATTTCATTCATCGAGTTAAACAACGTATTGACATTTTTACGTAAAAAAAAAAAACGAAAATATGTTGTCTTGCTAAACACATATTTCTAACGCTTCTGTGATAATGTAATACATATAAATTTAACAGAATGTACAAATTCAACTTATTATTATAAAGTTTGATATCCAGGACGACGATAAAATTTTAAAAAACGACTCACCGACTATGCATTTTGAAAGATTTCAGGTTTCGTTCACATTATAAATACGGCTAGAAGTTTGTTACCATTGTCGTGAGATGAAACAATGTGACCGAGCATCAATTAATTAATAAATAATACACTTCATACAAGAATATCAGGTGATTTTCATTCTCGTCTGATGAATTCTTAAACAATTGTTATTTTTTACCGCGAAATTAGATGCTATATTACTTCCAAATTTTCAATCCTGGGATACTGTATATTTCAACTTTTTATAACAAACTGGAATTATGCATTCGTTGGATAATCGCAGTTTAGTCGTCGACTATTGTTTGTACATTCGATAGCATAAAGAAACCCATTGAAATTTCGTTGCGAAATATTCGAACATCGATTGAAGTGCTACCGTATTTATATTGAGAATACAGTTTTTCTGTTGAAAGTTTTCAGATACTTCTCAGATTGCTTTGCAGATAGATAGATGTGAGATAATGAGCCGTTTTACATTTTATAATGAAATGCTTCTTTCTTTGTAAATCTACAGCAACGTTTGCAATAGTTACATATTATTCTGGCTTAAACCTACCGATTCTTCTTAACTATATAGACAATACCATTGTATACTTAATGGAGCTAGCCAAAACACTGATTCGCATTTCAATTATGGAGTAAATCTCGTGGTCATTATCGACTCGCTGGATTATCGTATAATCAATTAACAAAGCTGCTGAATAATCGATCTCGCGTACATGTATCACTGCGATGAATAGTGCTTGAACGAATCCCCTCGGTAGCTTAGAGACATCCAAGCATCGCGCGATCACACAATGCTTAACAATATTCGGAAATATGCTAGTTTTCAACCAGCATTGGTGTTTAGTCCAATTCAAAATGTATTTCAATTCGTTTTCGTGCGTAGGGACAATGAGGCAGCGTTCAGAAATCTCGTACACTTAAAAATATTTCAATATCACCTTCTCTGTTTATCCAAATCTTATTTGCCGCAAGACATTGGAAGCAGATTGATTACTAGATAGACGGATTTCGTTAGCGTGAACTCATGCTCTCAAATGATCACATTCGTCGCCGTGGGTACAGTAAAAACAGCAAACAAATTATATTTCTACTTATTTTCAAAGTGGATATAGATATTTATATTTATATCCGTATATATTATATATATACTTGTTCAAAATCAGAATTTAAACATTTAACGAATCATATTTTATTTAAAAAATGCTTATTTTTCTATAAAACATAGAGTAAAAAAATTTATCATATCTCACCAATTGAACTAGATAAAGAAAACTTTAATAAATTCCACTATAATAAAAGCCCGACATTTCGAAACCCAGCAATAACTTCGGAATTACAAATACAGATGTGAAACTATAACAGATACTGAAATTGTTACTTAAAACGACATTTGGGAAAATGATCTATGACAATCTATGTTATAAGGCCATTGCATGAAAATTGATGAATCAAACTGTACACGAATTCAAATTGTACCCAGCTTTGATCGCGAATAAGTTTCCTGACATATCTATAGTCGACTAAAGCTGATAAATATGTTCTTTGATATCACACGTAGTACCGTTACTCTAGTATGATCACATTCGCAATGTTTGTAACAATCCCCACAGTTTGTGATTAATCTTTAACGATCCACATCGTTGTCTCGTTTATTGTTTGAACTTGAAGTCAACAACTTCATCAAGCAGCATAAACTTTTTAATTAAAAAATTTTGCAATCGTTAATAATGTGGACCGTCAAAAATTAAAATATCGAAGTATCTCTGGTAAATGATAGGACCTTCAAATATCAAAGAATTTCGAGAGCACTGTGGCATCATAAAATCATAAATGATCGTCACGTATTCGCGCAATGATAATCGATCGTTAAAGCCGTTTAAAAGACGTAGCAGTTCCGTCCACGACTCCGAAATATGCAAGGGTATGAATTCTAATCATCGAAGATGCATTTTCCTCCCCGCCCCTCTGTTCGCGATGTCTTTCGTTTCTTCCTGACTTCTTCCTATTGAATTAAGTTCTATCTATTTACATCAAAGCCCTTTGTCGCGTGCCGACACAGCTGAGTATCAGCTGTAGGCCTGGCTATCACGAGAGCACGGGAGCGACTTCGGCCGCATCCTTGCAGTCTTGAATAGATAATTGAGCGATCTCGCTCACCATCTCCTCCTGAGCCTCCTTCTTCAGTATTGTATATCCCTGCTGTACCTGTTCTTCGTTCTCACACATCGCTTTGCCATTGGCCGGCCTTGCTTGGCCATTCGCCTTTTTCTTGCCAGACGATTCCTCACTGGACGCGCCTGGATTCATCTTGAATACATTCTTGAATATGCTGTTCATCGTCGGCTGTGAGCGTTTCGGATTCTCCGAATAGTTGTCACCTTTGGTGGCTGGTTGCGTTCTTCGCGTTCGCGCATTGCCTCTGACAAACTTATTGGCATTCTTCAGAACAGTCAATTGTTGCGTAGCTGACGTAACTTCCGTTTCTTTCGTTTCCATCGAGGACATTGTGCAAGATTCTACTTTTGCAGAATTCTTTTCTTCACACGGCGGCGCTTCGTCAACGGTACGCGCTACTTCTGAACTACAGACGTAGGGATATTCTTTCTCCGAGTATACATATTCAACCACGAGCTCATCGCTCTTCTTAAGATCCTCATCTAAATTTGTCACCGGAACGATCTTCGGTTCCTCTGTTTTCTCCGCTGGAGCTTTATTGCACTCCACGTGATTAGTCGTGTCCTGCCGCTCCGTCGGCATTTCCCTTTGGAGAACTTTAACGGGACTCTTCGGCTTCGTGATAGACTGGTCTTCCTTATTTTGGCAATTTGTACAAGAAATGTGTGTTGGCGAGTTTGCCTGTCTTTTAGTGACGTTATTTTTTTGAGCTACGCCCATATGCGGTCTACTTGCTCTGTGTGCATTATTTTGTACATTGAATGGCCCAGATTGCTCAGCATATTGCGGCTGTACATGATTAAAGTGTATTTGTGACTGCTGCGGTTGCTGTTGCATCCTACGAATATCAACATGCATCGTATTATCCATATGCGGCAGCGGCGGCGGTGGCGGCGTCGGCTGCTGCTGTTGTTGCTGCTGCTGCTGCTGCTGATAAGCAGGATATGGCTGAAAAGGCTTCATTTGATTCGGGGGATTAATGGCCGGGGTGGTATTTGGGCCCGGACCATACGGTAGATTCGAGCCTGGCATATACTTGGTGTTCACATACTGCGGCCACGTTTGCCTCGGTTGAAACTGATGCTGCGGTGAAATAATATTTTGCACAACCTGACCGTCTCTGCCGCGCTCGCGGTAGTTGTACCGGTCGAGGGCGATACGATGAACGCTGTTGTGGCACTGCTGCGACACGAAGCTGTGCCCGGGTATGAAGATAGGCTCGTTCTTGGAAATTGGCGAATTCTGTGGCTGATGCCCGTAGCTCTCGTAGTGCATATTTTCGTTGTTAATGGTCCTACTGTAGGCGACGCTCGAGTGGTACTGCGGTGGTTGCGGTATATACTCTTGCTGCTGCTGCTGCTGTTCTGGGTACTGAGGATATTGCGACATGGGTGGCTGAACGTCGATCCAAGTTTCTTGTTGCGGCGGGCGCTGCTCATTGTCGCGTATGGCCAGCACTGCGTTCCAGACTTCCTTCAGCTCGCCTGTGATGTCTCGATCTTTCAGTATTGTGTAATTACGATTGAAGACTACTCCTGCATTCATCGCCTCTATGAAGTCTAATAGTAACTCGATGAAGCTCGTGCGCTTCTGTCGGGAAACAACGGTAGCACATGTGACAAAAAGTTACTTGCCTCAGGGAACAAATACAACAGGGAGTACACAACGGCGGAGACTTTTAACGGACGGAAAAACTCGTTTCATTTACCTTCGCGTCCTGAGCATTCTTGCCGCTCATCCGCAGGACCTCGGGATTGGCCATTACAGCAAACACTATGGCTTCCGTCTTTGTGCGAGGAGGCGGCACTCTCATGCCGCCGTAGAGCGGCACAGGCAGTGAGGGTCTGCGTGGCATTGCAATTTTGTCCCAGGACAGCACGTTTACATAACACGGAGCCGTAGTGCCCTGTACCCAAGAGAATTGACATTTATATAATACCCACGCCATTGATTCCGGCGCGTTATGTAATAAACAACTCTCGCGGCGACAGCACTGCTATCGCAGCGAATACGTAATACCTGTATAAAATCCTGTATACACATGTGCGGCTGCGGTGGATTTTTAAACAGCCTCGCCCCGTTGCGCCCCTTCATCCTAGGTACGCCGCTTTCTGTCATTTTGCAACTGAAAAACCAATCGATTCAATAGCGCAAATTCCACACACGCAATTCCGCGTGTGTCATCGGGGCAGGTGCTTTTTCTCTCTGCCTACGGACGACTTCGCAAGGCGGCGACGTTCTCGACGGGCGAGGAAGCGGCGATCTCGGCTCGTCCCACAAAATCGTCCACGCACAGATCACGACCCACGGGTCGGAGCTTTTAGCTCCCGGGGCAACGCGCGAGGGGATCCAACGAGCGACCGACTCCCGAAACCATTTGACGCAGCCCGTCGCGCGCGCGCGCGCGCGCGCGGAGCTCGGGCCGACCGGGGAGCCGGGGACACCGCGAGTCCCTGTCCTCGCGACTACCGCGGCGGCGAGCGGCGGCACCGCGTGCGCGAGGCGTCCACAGGGGAACAGAGAGCGGAGCTATCGGTTGAAAACACACGCGCACACCTCGCTACCAATATGGCGCGGCGGGCGCGGAACGGAGAGAGCCGCGCGCGTTGTGACAGATGCGGCCGCGCGCGAGATCCCCCGCGACGCCCGCGGCCGCCGCGTCCTCCCGCGCGGCTCCCGCGAGAGAGACGAGCCGGGACGGATTACGTAACGCGACCACGCGGGGGGAAGGTAGGACGGACACCGCGAGCCAGATACCCGGCCGATCGAGGTCGCCCGCGGCCGCACGGCCAAGGTTACACGCGCCCTGTCAACATAACCTGTCGGAACCGCGCCGAGGGCTCGCGCGCCGCCGAGTCTACGCGGGGTCGGCGGGGAGGAGGGAGAGAGAGAGGAAGGGTGGAGGGTACGAGCGGGTCGCCCGCGTAGAGTTTTTCTCGCGCCGCGAGGAACTCACCCCGTATAGCCACGCTCGGCGAGAGAGAGAGCGGTGTCTCAGGCAGCCGTGAAGCCGACGCGAAACATCCCCGGGGAGGGGGGCGACGAGCTATCGTTCCTCTTGTTTATTATCCTCCCGCGGGGGCTGCACGCGGCGGGTCGGAGGGGGGGGCGGCCGATCGACACCTCGCGCCCTCGTCGCGGTCGCCGCGCGAACCTCTCGTCGCGTCCGTTTTCAATATGGCGCGCATGCGCGGGCGCAGCGCCCCGGAAACTGGGGGCGCCGCGAGGTTGCCCGCGAATTCCCCTAGAGCGTACCACTCTCTTGTGTTCTCGCGCGCGTTTTTTGGCGGCGGGAGGGGGGGGGGAGGGACAGGACGATCGCGCGCGACTTCAGAGACCGCCGCCCAGCTAGCCGGGGATTCGTCATGTCGGATCGTTATTCTACGTCGATGTCGGGCGAAGGAGAATTCGCGATCCCGTTTCGTCGTGCGTTTCGTCGTCGTCGCGCGCGACGGAGCGCGATTGCTGCGCGATGAAACGCGAGCACGGTAATTATTTCATCGCTGCCTGTCCGCCGCCGACGATTGTCCGATCGGGGCGCTCCATCGCGCGGAGAATGGACACCGATCGGCGGCGTTCGATTGTTTCCTGGACTTATCTGTTGCGCTTTCGAGGGAAGACGAAGTCGTCGCGTTAGGAATCTATTCCGTTTCCCTCGGAAAGGAGAAATCTGGGAAACTAATTGAGCGCCTCCGATCGGAATTAATTCCGAACATTTTCATGGCAGGCAGCCAGATCGCGCTACCCAGTGAGAAATAATTCGTCGATCGACGTCGAAACGGCGTCGAATCGACATCGACACCGTCGAATTGACGTCGACTCGACATCATTTCGGCGTCGATCGATGAATCATTTCTCACTGGGTATTGACCGGAATAATTCGACGGGACAAAATGGCTGTTATTAAGCGGCCGCGCTATCGATCGGAGATTTGCAGCTACGCGGTCTGTCGCGGCACAATCTTTTGGAAGGAATTTTCATTTCATTCGAAACGTTCTTTCTGCGGCGACACCACGCAGTTGGAAAATTTGTGTTTTCTTGTTAAAGGAAATGCCGGTAAAAATTTTTGTGCTAAATGTTTAACACATTCGCGTGTTAATTTGACGTATTGCTCCTGTGTTAATTGACCTCAAATGTAAAATTATTGAAATAACTGAAACGAAAAGTTAAAACAACACATTGTATACTTATTTTTTAATCTGACACGATACATATGTTCTATTTTATTAGTAGCAAAATTTATCTGTTAAAATTTACAACACAAAATGCTGATTCTATTCTGTAAAATATAAAAATTACATTTGTTGAATTCATTTTGTCATTAAAAATGTGTTAATTTTATACAAAATTTCTTTCAAATTATTTTGAGATTTGCATTTATTTTGTGTTAAAATATTAACAGAGTATTACTGTGATCATTTAGCGTATCCATATTATGTTAAATTAACAGAAAAGTTTGTGTGGACCGTTTGGGACATGTGACAACCATTAAATTTAACACAAATTTTTCAACACTGTAGGGCCGGTATTCATAGTCCGGTCTTATAAATAAGATCATCTTAAGTATACTCTTAATGTGTTTTTAATCAATCACAGAACCGTATATTAGCCTCTTAAGGCAACACTTACGATGATTTTGAAATGAGAATCAACTATGAATACCGGCCTAGGTCTTTTAACACATCAAATGCTTTTTCTTTCGTGGAATACCTTTTGTTTTGTTTTTAAGTTCGGTTATTTTTGCGACATACCGTATAACAATGTTATATGTCATTACCAGGTGAAACTCGAAGCTGGAGGAGATCACAGGACATTCGCAGCTGGATCAGAATTCCGTTTCGCATCAGGCATAAGTGAGTGCGACGTATTTCGCCAGGCGTATAATTCAAAATTCGTTCAAAAATTATCGAAGACATTCGAACGAATGAGAAATGATTTGTCGATCGATGTCGAAGCGATGTCGAATCGATATAGACACCTTCAAATTGATGTCACATCGACGTTTGATGGTGTTGATGTCGTTTCAACGTCGATCGACGAGTCATTTCTCGCTGGGGACGGTTCTGTTACTCTCGTGTAAATCGTACTTTATATCCCTTGAAATAAGTAACTGCACACTGACAAAAAAATTGTTTAAACTAAGTAAATAGATTTACTTAAAATTATTTTCTTTACTGAAGCAAATATTTATTCTATTTAAATAAAACTATCAAATTTCAAGTAAATCTGTGTATTATATTAAATTAATATAATTAATTTAAATCATTACATTTTCTACATTCAACTAAAGATTTCACGGGATAGAGAAGACTATTTATTAAATTAAATCATTATTTCTGTCAAATAAGAAATCGAAGTTACAGTTACAGTTACTTCTTTTTGCTAACTCTAACTTAACTTCGTTACTTTCTCTCCGTCTGTAACTGTAACTTAACTTAGTTACATTAATAGTTATTTCATATATATTTTAAACCTACACAGATCGCATTAGGCCTTTCCATTTGCGCATGAACGCCTTTATCGACACTTTACATTTAGATGCACATTCGATATTTTTATTTTCATTGCAAAAAAGTAGCTGCAAAGTAACGATTCGTTACTTTTTGGGTAACTGTAACTGTAGCGCGTTACTTTTTACAATTGGTAACTTGTAAATGTAACTAGTTACATTTTTAGCGAAAAAACTGTAACTGTAACTAGATACTTTTATAAAGTAACTTTCCCAACCCTGAAATTGATACAATATTAGACCAATATTGTTAAATAAACATATTGGCTCAATAAGAGAAGGCGTTCATCTTGCAACATTGGGCCGACATTTAAACTACTGGATTCACATTATCTCCCAATATTGCGCCGATATATTGCGCCACTAGGGGTTGCCGAATTCTGTCACCGTTCAATAATTTCGCGCGTTCGACCTTGAGACGCAACAATTATAAACAATTAGCGCGACGAATGATGAATATAAGAAAAAGGAAAAGGGGAAACCGGTCCCCCGGCGGTTCGGAAAGCGCCTTATACTGAAACTTGCTGTAGAACTCGCACAAACGGGCGGCTCGGAGGACTGTAGTTAGCGACTATTAATATCATCGATCCCGATCGATAGTTCTGCCTGCGAGGCGTCATAATGATATGGTGGATGGTGCGGACCTCTCTGATACCCCGCCGATACGTCACGTACACCGGTAACGACGTACAAGTGGCGCCAATAATGCTCGCAAACATCGCGCCCCGCTGTACAATCTGTTATCGTTAACTCGCGCCCGGGACCGCTCGCTAATGCGATGCCGCTAATGATCCGGCATTAAAGAAACAAAAGGACGGCGCGCCGGTGTTGTTGCGGCGCCGGGATACTTGCAAAACCGTGCGACTCTATTCCCCGTAAACGCAATAAGGTCCCCTTCCCTCCGCCGTCCGACAGACGAATCTAATAATGTAACGCCAAGTCCATCTAAATTTCAGGTGTCGGCTCAGCTATATTTAACGACTTAAATTAACCCTCATCTCGCTCCAACTAACAATCCCAAGATTCTCCGCGAGACTGGGCTCTCCAAGATCTATTTAAGCGTCAAGTTGAGGAAAAGGAGAGTCGAGCTCATTTCATTCGTATTTCAATTCTTCCTACGTTTGCAAACGCGTCAATTTGTAATTAGCGATTTAATTGAACTTTACGTGTCGAATAGGCGCGTGTAGCCCGAATCGCGTACGTCCGAATGGATATCCCCTACGCGAAGAGAAAACGAGCCCGAGGGAAACCGAGTGCGTCCCGCCGTCGTCCAGCGTGCGTCGCGGTACGCGCGAAATTCTACGCAGTCCCGAGAAATCTCGCGCGAGTTCTGCGCGTCGTTAATGCGCGATCGTTCCGCTCGATCCGCACGGCCGGCGCGATCGTAACCCCCTCGTAAGGACCCTGTAATGCGAAATAATGGGTATCCACCCACTCGATGAAAATTACATGAGACGCGCGGGCCCTTCTCGAACGAGCCCGGGCAACCATCTCTCCACGTGCGCGCGCGCGCGGGGCACCACCTCGAGGGCACGTACGGGCCGCGAAACGAAGGTGGAAACGACGGAGGTGCCCGGAGGTGAGGACGGCGCACGTTATAGCGCGGCCGACGATAATTGTTTGGTAAGCGTGAACGCCGTAATTAAAATTTCCGGAGAATAGAGATGCGGAGATACGGGCGGTACCTCCGTATTGTTGCGGCGCGCGTTTATGCCGCCGTGCGCCGCGGATGTCCCGCGCGACGTTATTGCATTCGCGTTTCTTGCGGCGCACGTCCCTCGGCCGTCCCGAACGCGAAAATGGGGACGGAGATCGGAGGAACAGGTTTCGCCGTTCGAGTTTGATTAAATAATCTTCGAGGGAGACGCGGGGGAACTGCCCTCGCAGCTTATCTGATGGATGCGTACAGCTTCGTGCGGACGCAGAGCGTACGAATCTTTCACTTTGTATTTTATTCAATTGTGCGATTGCATTATTGCCAAATTGATCCGAAAGCCCTTATTCGACAGTTTTCTATTTTTTTTTCTGGTTTCCAATAACTGCCTTCTAATATATATTTTCTCATCCTATATATTATTACTACAATTACAACTATTTAACAATAAGAGCAGCAATCTTCGCAATAAAAATTATATATGTTATATATCAATAATGTGCAATTAAATAAAATAGAGAACGAGAGAGAAAGAGAGAGAGGGATTTGGTAAATACAATATAGATTTACATTTTTAAATAAAATTTGATGCTGTTTTAAATTGCGTATAGTAATGAACATGATAAACTGATATAATGCAATGATTGTACAGATTACTCTGTACATGTCTTCTGTCTAAATAATATTCCAGAGATATAATCTTTACATATGTTTATTCTATAATAGGAAATCCTCTCTTCTCCCTGTTCGTTTTATTGCAAAGTGTTAAATATAATCACGATAAAATACAATATTATACAATATTTAATACATTATGATCTACTTTTTAAGTAAAATACCTAATTATATTCTCAGTATTTACATTCAAATGTATTTACAATTAAAATCTCTATTTTCCATAATTAATTTACATTTACATTTACATTTACATGTACACTGGATAATAAGATCGGTCTCTCTTCTCTCTCTTTTCTTTCTGCACTACTCGTATTTCCTGCATACGTAAATTATACACGTTGTCTATGTTTGTCTTACGTATCTCGCCGTACAATTGTACGGATAGATAGATGGGGGAGAGAGAAAAGGACATGGGCAACCATGTGTATTCATAATGCGTATTCATTCCGATTGGATGAGGCATACAGGTAGGACGATTTTCGCAGTTTCGTTTAGCACATCGCAAATCACGCGTTTGGTCAAAGCCGCATAGAGGTCGGGCGCGTCATACAAAACGTTCTTTCGCAGGTAGGCGTGACGAGTGTAACAACAATACGCATGATATACGCATACAGCGATAACAATTAGAGATACGCGTATGATTTCTTCTTATCCAAATATTGCGATTAAATTACAATGACTCTGTTTCTTTATTAATATAGTTCTCATTATAATATTGCAGATATATCATAGTTATCTACGATATCGCTAATAATATTTGATAATAATACAATTAGATAGTATTAAAATACCGCTTATGCAATAATATTATATATAATTGTTATCGATCTCTTATCGACAACCTTTTCAGTTCTCTTTGCAAAAGAAATGAGGCTTAATCAGGTTTATGGATATACAATATATTTCGTATTATTATTTATTCATTGGGATTTTACTTTATTTCGAACGGCCTAAGTCAGATTGTAAAGATATTTGACAATTCTTCCAGTTTCTGACACTAATTGAAATTTAATTATTATAAACTCAATTTGAAGACTAAAATCGGTATCCGTTATACCTTTGACTTAAATCCTTCCTTAATCCAAATAAATTTGACAAACTATCAAAATTTTATCCTTTTCATTGAAATGTATTGTGTATTTTTGAAACGACTATAATTGTCTTAAATGGTTTTTCAATATATGGAGATCTTTATTTTTCAAGAAGAATAAATTTACAATTAGAACAGTTTTGAGGGCAGGATATTAAGTTTTTAAATCAAATCGTGAATTTAAAATAAAAATTATTCTTTGATAAAAATTTCCAATTATTTAACAATTTTATATTCCAATGCTTAACGTTTTATTGATATTCTTCTACAAATTTTATTGATATACAAAAATAATATTGCGTATTATTTTTAGTTCAATTCAAACTTTTTTATGATTTATAATTTATAATTAACGAATCGAACAAACGAGAACGCCGTACTGGTCCGAGTAAGATGTAGATAGCCCAATAACTTTTAATATGTGAATTTATATATCGGTTTTATTCCATGTAATTAACGAGGTTGTATGCTTTTTACAGTAAAAACATTCCTATTCTTCTGCAGATGTAGACATTATAATTTAATTATTACAATAGAAAATTTGCCTGTTTTAATATAAATCTAATCGCAATATTATATTTTTGTTGCAGATTTTGCAAATGCAAATTCCTGAGTCAGCCATCAGTCTTGGTGAGTAAAATTTAATGAAGGTAATGGTTCTCTCTCCAATAATATCATTACTTTTTAAATCAGTGAGATTTATTTCGCTTGTACTTAGATATTTGCATACATATTCTTGCAAGTGTCAGTCGGAAAAGAAATATTAGTTACAATCTATTCGTTTTAAGAGGAAAAAATACTGAACAAAATAATATATCGAAATAGATTATTTATTGTAACACTTCTCTCTCTCTC